GTACTAAAGAAGCTTTTTGTTTCAATCTATTAAGGAATCATGTAGATAAAGATGATTTTGTTATTAGATATCATAAATGATATAATACAACGTATTTTTCTTACAAATGAAGTGCTTCGTCTTAAGACTTAATGTCATAATAATCTACCATGTTAATAGATCATCTTATCTCTATTTGTCTTAAACCTTGATCTCAAAACTTTTCTCTTAAAAAATGTTGATGTTTGTTATCATTAAAACTTAAATCTTGAGGGGTCTAGGATCATCATTTGAACTAATAGGAGATTTTCAACAACTGAACTCATAGAGCACGACGTCAATATCCACACAATGTGATATCAAACTTTCAAAAAAAACCTCTCCTCTATACCTAAATCAATCAACATGCCTAAATGCTTATAATATTCTTAGCATCACACCCCAACGTTACATTGACACAACATGAAGAAGAAGAAATTCATATCTTTTCTCTCTACCATCTCTCTAAAGTTCTTTGAGTAATGGGCTTATAAGGCTCAAGTTTCAAAAGAACTTTATATACTGATTCCTTTAGGATTAAACTGGACATCTATTCAAATAAACCCTCTAAAATACTTAAGAAGTTTTTTAACTCTCAAAATTTCTCATTATCACACTTCAAAACACAACACATAATTATCGTTAAAAAATAATAATTAGCAAAAACTTACAATATTACCGTCTTTATCTGTCTTATTAAAAAAAGAATAATACTCTTAATTTTAATTCCAATAGTAGTAAGTATTAGAATTTTGATATTTTTATTCGATTGTTCAAGAATGAATACAAAATAATTAAACACATATATATAAAATACAAAATTTAAACCAATTTTCGTCCTAATATTGATCATTAGATCATTCACATATTTAATTGTATCGTGTGTGGCAACATATTCATTTTTTTATACAACTTGGAGAATGCAAGCATCAAAGTCACAAATTTATAAATGAGCTATTTCATTAGTTTGTTATGTTGATCGTGAAATTATTCAAATTATTATGTCATAAATTACATTTTATAAATAATTTATCACTTACTAAATATAATAGTTTTTAGATTTTTTTTAAGAAATTAAGTTCCTATTTTTATTTAATTAACTTTTATAAATTGTTAAGAGAATATAAGACTACTCTGTTAAGAGAATATAAGACTACTCGATGAAAACTACAAGTAAAATAGTGTCGAGCCATATAATTAATGCTTGAATATTCCTTTATACCTTTTTGGTCAAAAGTCACCCCTTGAAAAGGACAAACAAAGACAACTAGGCATCACTGAATTAAATAAATAAAATATTTTTTTGTTGTTACAAGAGATAATAAATAGATAAAATATGTTCCATTATAATACACGTTGATGTAAAACTATTACTTAATCGTGTGTGCCATGTTATTCGATTCTCTGTTTAAATCATGAATAAAAAAATATTCATAAATATTCCATGCCACTGAAAAAATCATTTTTCATGTATTTGTTATTAAAAAAGCAACTAACGGTATTTTAGTTTTACAGAATTAAAATGACACAAATTTAATTAATTCTCTATTATAATTAATTTTTGATTTTAATTTATTAATAAATTTTTGGATAAAATTAATATATTTTTTTTTATTTTGACGGTTAAATGTTTTTATTAATTTCATTTAACTTAAAATTCTTAAAAAGATATTATTTAACATTTATATAAATTCAATCAACATTTAAAGCTTTATTTTATTAAAATTAACTCCTATATATTAAACATGAATCTCTATCTTATTGAGTGTTTTTAATAGCTTTTTTTTTTTGGTAAAAGAGTTTTTAATTTTTTTTTATAACTTTTTATTCAATTCATTTTTTATTTACATAATTATTTATGAATTATATTTTAAAATAAATTATAAATAAATAAAAATA